TACAGTCAACAATTTCCTGCTCTGACCGAGGCTATCAGTCTTGTGACCACATCGTCAAATCTAACTGGACGTCACATCTTACTGGGCGTCTCATCTCACTGGACGTCACATCTAACTGGACGTCACATCTAACTGGACGTCACATCTAACTGGACGTCACATCTAACTGGACGTAACATCTAACTTGACGTCACATCTAACTGGACGTCACATCTAACTGGACGTCACATCTAACTGGACGTCACATCTAACTTGACGTCACATCTAGCTGGACGTCACATCTAGCTGGACGTCACATCTAACTGGACGTCACATCTCACTGGACGTCACATCTAAATGGACTAAGATAAGAAGGAGAATAGAGTCTACAGAACCCACTCCGACAAAGACTATGAAACTGGGTTTAGTGAAGGACTTCATTCAGGCTATAGACCTCTTTCGTCGGCTGATATATGCAGGATAAACTCCATTGTGTAAAAAAAAAACGATACAAATTCAGGGATGTCCTTTGAAAACGCAAAATAATATTTTGTAAAAAAAAAAAACAACCGTTACGACAGTCAGTAATAATAGCTTTTATTTTTAAAAAAAAACTACGCTGAAAAACGCGACGCTTCAAAAAATTCTTTTGAACGTAACAAAAGATAGGCATGTTTGTAAAGTTTACAGAACAAACATATTTATTTCAGTTTAAAAGAGTGTTACCGTTGTTGCATAGATTCTATTTCTTAACAAAACTGTAAGCGTCTGTGTAAAAACAAAATCATGTATGACGTAATTTTAAAGTTCTCTAGCATTGCAAAGTGTATTATTTATCTTGCTAAGCAGTTTTTATTTTTTAGGCTGTTTTTGTTAAATAAAGGATTTAATTCTTCCATTTGACTTGCTGTTAAATATACAACAATATACAGGCTAGTGACACTACATGCATTAGATGATGTAACCGACAACGGTATACATATATATATATATATATATATATATATATATATATATATATATATATATATATATATATATATATATATATATATAATATATATATATATATATATATATATATATATATATATATATATATATATATATATATATATATATGTGTGTGTGTATGTACACTTACGAATGACCGTTAAAATGTATGTGTGATATGGCTGTGATAAATCACAACCCAATTTGCTGTCAGCCAGTGTATAATTATTAAACTACATTTAATGGATAAAGCAGATATTTCGTTGGATGTTATCGCACGGTGCGATCCACACCAACACCCCCTCCTCCACCCTCCCCCTCCCCCCCCTCACACACACACACCACTAACACAATGCACTCTTCTATTTCCTCACATACCCACAACAAATTTCATTACTCGCTCCATGGTTACAATTTTTTTAAGAACTCAAATATCAATATCTGCCAGCGTAGTTCAGAGACAGAAGCACTAGCAACGAAATACCAAAGCTAGCCCGTGTAAGCCTTGTCGGCTAATAGAATTCCGTCTTATAAGCCGCCGGCCGACTTCTCAATGAAAAACAAATGTGTCGATGTGTTTTAATGGCAGCTAAAGATGGATAAACGGGAATCCCCGATACTTAACGTAATATGAAAGATTGAAGGGAGCTTGGCTAAAAATAGCACACAATGTTGATGACGGGAAGAAAGCTGTTGTGAGTTCTTGTGCATCGATCAATAGGCCTACATTATAAATACAGTTTTTATGAAAGAGCTAACAATCCTAGAGACAGCGAGATTTAATAGCTGTGTCCACAAGCTACATGCTGCTATAGATATTGGCAATCTCATTGTGGTATGGATGCTAAACGGGTGTATAATTACACGGAAGGTTAAAGAATGTAAGGTTGTATATGCTTACAGGTTGTGGGATTATTTACAAGAGTGTGTATGGTTTTATAGATGTTTTAAGTGTGTCTGATTTACAAGAAAACGAACAAGTGAATTGTTGTAGATGCTAAAACAATGTAAGGATGTGCATACGTAATAAAATGATTATTGTATAATTACACACAATGTATTATTAATGTAACCGTATTGTTAGTCCATTATATTTATTTATAAATTGATGTTTAACCAATGTATGGTTAAATAAAGTTTAAACTTAGAGAACGTATGGTAAACAGGTGCTTAACAAAGGTATAACAATGTATACAGATAATATAATGTTAAGTAAATATTAGAAATGGATGATTGGTAAATACTCAAATAATAATTAATTATATTGATGCATCCGTTGCGTTTATATTGTTTATAAACTAACATAATATTTTCTATATTATTTTCAACATGGTTAAATAAAAGTTGCAAGAAGAAAGTCTATCATGCAGGTAATTAAATAAAATAAAAAGACCTTTAAACGCTATATACTATGAAATTACAATTCATTAAGAAGTAAAATGTAGAACGTTTAATCATAGCATAGGGGCCATTTAAATATTTTTGATTAGGAATAACTCATTTGCTATTTTGTTAAGGCCTACATCCAAACTTACTGTTAATTAAAAGTAGATAGAGACACGCTTGTTAAGTAAGCAAGTGAATAAAACACTTGCGTAACCCTAAACTTAACCTGAACTAAAATACGGGCCAAAAGTTTAGAGACAGACACGCTCGTTAGGTAAACAAGTGAGTTACACACCTGAATAACCCTAACCTTAACCCGAACTGAACCGGTGCCATTTTGGCACGGTACGGCAGGAAAGTAAAATATGTAGGTCAAAGAATGGATAACCGCTCACGGAACTACACACTACACGAGAGAAATAACACAGCTGGGAAACTCACTACCGTAGCACAGTAGAGTAAATCACGCCACTAATCAGCCTACTCAAATACACAATACACAGAATACTACACACAACAATACAGACATTTAACTCACAAAAATACAAAGAACAAAAAAAAAATACACAACATAACAAAAACAAGGAAGCCACCAGCAACACACTCAACAAGTGGAGAATAAAAACTAGGCCAGAACAAAATCAATACCACAATTTAACACAACAGACAGACAAACAAACGAATGGAGTAGTCGTGATTGGCAGGCACACAATGAAAATACAAACATATATAAGCTTCAACACAATCTATGATTGTAACACATAAACGACACATTCAATCAAAGAAACACACCAATACATTCAAACATAGCATCACACAAACAACATAATACTACAGCAACACACAAAAATACATTCTATCTTAGCAACATACAGACATTAAATTTGACGGTAGAAACATACAAACAACTCATTTTACATTAAGGCCACCTAAACAACACGTTTTTTACAGTAGCAAAACATAAGCAGCGCATTCTCCATGACAACACACAAACAACACATTGTACATTAAGGCCACCCAAACAACACGTTTTTACAGTAGCAAAACATAAACAGCGCATTCTCCATGACAACACACAAACAACACATTGTACATTAAAGCCACCTAAACAACACGTTTTTACAGTAGCAAAACATAAACAGCGCATTCTCCATGACAACACACAAACAACACATTGTACATTAAAGCCACCTAAACAACACGTTTTTACAGTAGCAAAACATAAACAGCGCATTCTCCATGACAACACACAAACAACACATTGTACATTAAGGCCACCCAAACAACACGTTTTTACAGTAGCAAAACATAAACAGCGCATTCTCCATGACAACACACAAACAACACATTGTACATTAAGGCCACCCAAACAACACGTTTTTACAGTAGCAAAACATAAACAGCGCATTCTCCATGACAACACACAAACAACACATTGTACATTAAGGCCACCCAAACAACACGTTTTTACAGTAGCAAAACATAAACAGCGCATTCTCCATGACAACACACAAACAATATAGTCTACCATAGAATATGATACTACTGGATGACAGTAACATACACCAGTCGGATCACAACATACACCTGTGTAACAATAACACACACCTGTATGACCATAATATACACCTACGTAACAATAACACACACCTGTCTGACCATAACATACACCTGTCTGATCACAACGTACACCTGCTTGACAATAATATACACCGGTATGACAGTTACATACACCTGTTTGACAATAACATACACCTGTCTAACCAAAACTGTGTACTAACGACACTAATGTTTGCAAGCTACAATATTTTCTAATTATGTAACGTAGGATACATTCATATTTATATTTTTTAAGGTTCTCATTGTTTGCAGCGTAAATAATTTTACCAATGAATTTTATAAAGTTAGGCTGCTTGTGCCATTTATGACAAGTTTTGTAAACTTGAATTTCTTATAATGTTAAATTTGTCATGTCCCCAGTTTGATGAAAGGCCTTACTTCCCACCAACCAATACCAATATACCACACGTTTTATAATGTTAAATTTGTCATGTCTCCAGTTTAATCAAATTTCTACACTTTATATAATGTTGACTTTATAATGTCCCCAGTTTGATAAAATGCCCAAACTTTATATAATGTTGACTTTATAATGTCCCCAGTTTGATAAAATGCCCACACTTTATATAATGTTGACTTTATAATGTGCCCCAGTTTAATAAAATGCCCACACTTTATATTATGTTGACTTTATAATGTCCCCCCAGTTTGATAAAATCCCCACACTTTATATAAAGTTAAATTTGTGGTGTCCCCAGTTTGATAAAATGCCCACAAGTTTTATAATGTTAAATTTGTAATGTCCCTGGTATGATAAAATACCCAAACTTTATATAATGTTGACTTTATAATGTCCCCAGTTTGATGAAATGCCCACACTTTATATAATGTTAAATTTGTCATGTCCACAGTTTGATGAAATGCCCAAACTTTATATAGTGTTGACTTTATAATGTCCCCAGTTTGATAAAATGCCCACAAGTTATATAATGTTAAATTTGTCATGTCCCCAGTTTGATGAAATGCCCAAACTTTATATAATGTTGACTATATAATGCCACCAGTTTGATGAAATGCCTTACCTCTCACACGCCCGCACCAACCAGCCAGCTATAATCCACAGACTTAACATAAAAACCAGCAGCACCGTCCCCGGGCAGATTGTCATCAAAGTTTTCAACACAAACTTCGTATCGAAGTGGATACGGTTCAGCGCCCCGATGCTCCTAGAGGAGGCGTCAGTGAAGAGCTTGCTATGGAGCAGCATGACCCGGCAGATAAGGTACAGTCTGAGGAACATCGGGACGGATAACACCACGTCTATGGACACCGTGCTGTTGAACTTCTCCCCGTTCTCGGCCAAGATGCCGGACCAGACGAAGGTCATGTCGCCGGGGACGGGGTGGACGGCGCAGACGATAAACTCGACCAGAAGCTGCAGGGCCCGGCGCCATGAGATGGCGATCTTCCAGTCTTCCACGCAGTTGTCGATTGCAAACAGCTGGGGATGAACAGATGGGGCTAATTTAGGAGAGGCAACAGGTAAACAGAGAAGACGAATGCGAGAAAAGTAGGCAAATCAAGGGAGACAATAAAATAAGGGACATAACTCATATAGAGAAAGATGGGGTATCTCCAGGGAGATAATAGAATAACAAGGTTCATAATCAATACAACTTAGACAAGTGTTGACAAAAATTAACGAGATAAATTCAAGCCAAACAAATAAGGTTTTATTCAAAGATAATTATGACAAAAAACAAAACTCATATTTGTGTATATTTAACCATATATATATTTCTATATAGGTCCATATCAAATGATATGTAATTGTATGTGTATGAGACAGAATGTGTGTCAAGTGGGTGATTTTCCTTACCTGTATCTCCAAGGTATGGTAAGCTAAGATCAAGCCTAACAAAACCACTGTTGAGATTGTGATCAGCGACTTGAGGGTCTTGGAGTAGAAGCTCGACTGGGGAGGAGAAGCAGACAAATATTTGAAAGGTCGGTGACATCTGAGAAATGGGGCTAACGATTATGTTATATGTCAGATCTTAGGGCTCTTCATATATGGCATCATGCAATTTTAGCCCCCCCCCCCCGAAAAATAAATAAATATAACAATAAAAACTCGTCAACGAAAGCCACACTCCCTCTCCATTCCAAAATGACGCCAAAATTAACAAAATAACTGATATGTAACGTGACTTTTGTTATTTATTGGTTTGTTTACAAAGAACACAATTTGTTACACATGTTGAAAACACACACACACCCTCCCTCACCAAAACTCACACACCTCAATCCCAGGTGGTAAATCGTATTAAAATTCTGAATCGCCTCCTTCAGGTGAGTCATTTTGTTTTTGGACAAGCCCTTTATTTAGTTTTCAATCATTGAATGGACTTTCTACCCCGCAGATTAGTGTTGCCACTCCTCTGGCCGATTGGTTGCTGACATTTGCATGGTATGATATTAGCCATATCTGAGGCAGCAACTCTACTGGTGGGAATATTACGGGGACAATTAGAACTTCTTTGTGTCAAAGTTCAACATAGTGATTGTATATAGTAAACCAATTGTAATTGTGATTCGAATATAGCAAGGTGGGTGGGAATAAAATACAGAACGTTAGGTGGGGCTGCCTTAGATAATCCCGTGAATTTGTTTTAGAAGCAGCACATTTCTGTACCCTATCTTCTCGGTGGCTTTGATATGCGGAAGTTTATTTTACTTTAGAAGATCTGGATCTTGTGGCTAAGTGTTTGAAAGTTTATTATAGAAGATCAAGATATTGTGTTTGAAAGTTTATTATAGAACTTAGAAGCAAATAGTTCTTGTGTATAAAAATGTATTATAGAAGCAAAGATCTTGTGTTTTCAAATGTTTACTATAGAGGCAGTTAGATCTTGGAGTTAGTTTTTTTAAAATAAAACATCTAGACCGAATCTTTGGTCGCTTATTAAAACAATAGCAGCACGGGATTGTAGTATTATTAGCTAGGAACTCAACTAACCCTGGTCCTGATCCTATACATAACCCAAACCCTGCCCTAACAACCACACCGACAGAATAAACCCATCAATATTGCACTATATTGTGGTGCTGACGTCATTATACGCGCCACACAATTCCTTCATGTCCACTGTGTTCACCCCCCCCCCCCATAGCCAACTAATCGCTCAATTTTTTTTTCATCCCCTGGCTAATACCCCAGCAGACGTCAACGCAAATTTGTGCTCGGTCAAAGGTCACTACAGTTCCCGATGTTTATACAAATGGCATGTTGAGCGGAAGCTGAGCGGAGTTTGAGCGGAAGTTGCGCGGAGGATGAGTGCCAGAGATGATAAGGTCTGGGCTTGTTTTATGGTAACACTGGAACGGTGACATTGGTCTGACCTTCACACACTAGAGATCAAACGTTGTTAATTAGACTCGGGAACTCGACAGACATCGGTTAATGAGTGGTCAAGTTCCTCGTGAATCAGACATGTAGCAATTCGGTCGTTTATGATCTATGAATCAGTTCAACATTGCATATGTTAGTTGTCATAAATGTTGGGAAAAAGTAGTTCCGGTTTGAGTTTTTGGGGGAAAAAAAATATAATAAAACAGAAAGGAAGATTCGGTCATTTATGATCTATGAATCAGTTCAACATTGCATAATATGTTCGTTGTCATAAATGTTAGGAAAAAGTAGTTTCAGTTTTAATTTTTGGGGGAAAAATATAATATTACTAAAAAGAAGATTCAGTCATTTAATGATTTCAAAAGAATTCTTGTGTCACTAGGTTTAAATTCTGTCAGATGTATCGGTCATATTTTGTTAAAGTCATCCAAAGTAATTATTTTATCAGTGAAAACAAACTCAAGTTTTTTGTCTGTAATTGGTTGTTTTGTTGTTTGATAAAAGTATGGGTTTAACGCGTGGGTGTTGGGTGTGTGGGGGTTTGAGGTGTGGGTGTTGGGTGCGTGTGCGTTTAAGGTGTGGGTGTTGGGTGCGTGTGGGTGTTGGGTGAGTGTGGGTGTTGTGTGTGTGGGTGTTGGGTGTGTGTGCGTTTAAGGTGTGGGTGTTGGGTGTGTGTGGGTTTAAGGTGTGGGTGTTGGGTGTGTGTGTGCGTTTAAGGTGTGGGTGTTGGGTTTAAGGTGTGGGTGTTGAGTGTGTGTGGTTTTAAGGTGTTGATAACATGGTTTGTAGTTTAATATCTGGGTTTAAGGTGTGGTTGTGCTTTGGGTGTGTGTGTGTGGGGGGGGGGGGTTCTGGTTTAAAGGTAGTGGGCTATGTTGTTTGTTTGTGCAACTGGGGGGGGGGGGTTAGGGCTTAAGGTGTTGGTTGTGTTATTTGTGTATGGGCGGGGGCTGTCTGTGTTAAAGGTGTAGATTTAGGACAGGGTTTGATTGAAGTTGTGAGCTGTGAGGTTTGGGTGGTGTCTGAATTCAAGAAATGGGTCGTGTAGTTTGTGTGAAAGTGGGGCTCTTAGTATAAGGTATGGGTTATGTTGCGTGTTTGGTGTGTGTGTGGGGGGGTCTGAATTAATTCAAGAAATGGGTCGTGTAGTTTGTGTGAAAGTGGGGCTCTTAGTATAAGGTATGGTTTATGTTGTGTGTTTGGTGTGTGTGTGTGGGGGGGGGGGGGGTCTGAATTAATTCAAGAAATGCGTCGTGTGGTTTGTCGTCTAGGCTTAAGTTGAAGTTTTGGCTTAGAACTTTTGTTTAGTTTGTAGGTAATGTGGTTTGAACTGGGGTCAAAGTTGAAGGACTGGACTGTGAGGTTTAGGAGCGGTGGTGTGTAAGTTCAAGGTTTGGGTCATGAGGGTTGTAGGTTGTAGGTTTGAGATTTGTGGGGTGTAGGTTCAAGGTTTGGGTCATGAGGGTTGTAGGTTGTAGGTTTGAGATTTGTGGGGTGTAGGTTCAAGGTTTGGGTCATGAGGGTTGTAGGTTGTAGGTTTGAGATTTGTGGGGTGTAGGTTCAAGGTTTGGGTCATGAGGGTTGTAGGTTGTAGGTTTGAGATTTGTGGGGTGTAGGTTCAAGGTTTGGGTCATGAGGGTTGTAGGTTGTAGGTTTGAGATTTGTGGGGTGTAGGTTCAAGGTTTGGGTCATGAGGGTTGTAGGTTGTAGGTTTGAGATTTGTGGGGTGTAAGTTCAAGGTTTGGGTCATGAGGGTTGTAGGTTGTAGGTTTGAGATTTGTGGGGTGTAGGTTCAAGGTTTGGGTCATGAGGGTTGTAGGTTGTAGGTTTGAGATTTGTGGGGTGTAGGTTCAAGGTTTGGGTCATGAGGGTTGTAGGTTGTAGGTTTGAGATTTGTGGGGTGTAGGTTCAAGGTTTGGGTCATGAGGGTTGTAGGTTGTAGGTTTGAGATTTGTGGGGTGTAGGTTCAAGGTTTGGGTCATGAGGGTTGTAGGTTGTAGGTTTGAGATTTGTGGGGTGTAAGTTCAAGGTTTGGGTCATGAGGGTTGTAGGTTGTAGGTTTGAGATTTGTGGGGTGTAGGTTCAAGGTTTGGGTCATGAGGGTTGTAGGTTGTAGGTTTGAGATTTGTGGGGTGTAGGTTCAAGGTTTGGGTCATGAGGGTTGTAGGTTGTAGGTTTGAGATTTGTGGGGTGTAGGTTCAAGGTTTGGGTCATGAGGGTTGTAGGTTGTAGGTTTGAGATTTGTGGGGTGTAGGTTCAAGGTTTGGGTCATGAGGGTTGTAGGTTGTAGGTTTGAGATTTGTGGGGTGTAGGTTCAAGGTTTGGGTCATGAGGGTTGTAGGTTGTAGGTTTGAGATTTGTGGGGTGTAGGTTCAAGGTTTGGGTCATGAGGGTTGTAGGTTGTAGGTTTGAGATTTGTGGGGTGTAGGTTCAAGGTTTGGGTCATGAGGGTTGTAGGTTGTAGGTTTGAGATTTGTGGGGTGTAGGCCTATGTTCAAGGTTGGGCCATGAGGTTTGTCGGTTTGAGATTTATGTTTAAAGAGCGGGCACATGGTTGGGAGATGTTATAAACAGATTTTTGTTTCGTTAATATTTGGCTACGTGCGTGATTGTTTTTGTGGTATGGTTGCCAAAATCGACATTTGGTAACCGAAACTCCATGTACCACTGAAACGTGTGCCGATCGCGCCTAAACCATCAACAATCAGCGCCTTCATTGAGGGTGTATCAATGGTATACAGGCGCGCTGCCAGGGCGGTTCTGGCACTAAAGCAGACGTGTGGGATGACGTCATCTAGCCTGTTACGTACCGGACGAGATGTACGTTTACTCACTCTACATACACATACTCTAGTTATAAATAGATTGAGGAAACGACTCTTAACTAACGGGAACCTGACGCGGAGAGGCTGCTAGAGAGAAGGGTAAAACTACACATTTGGTTTAATTAGAGACAGCTACACATTTGGTTTAATTAGAGACAGCTACACATTTGGTTTAATTAGAGACAGCTACACAGTTGGTGTAATTAGAGACAGCTACACAGTAGATGTAATTAGATACAGCTACACAGTAGATGTAATTAGAGACAGCTACACAGTGGATGTAATTAGATACAGCTACACAGTGGATGTAATTAGAGACATCTACACAGTTGATGTAATTAGAGACAGCTACACAGTGGATGTAATTAGAGACAGCTACACAGTGGATGTAATTAGAGACAGCTACACAGTGGATGTAATTAGAGACAGCTACACAGTGGATGTAATTAGAGACAGCTACACAGTGGATGTAATTAGAGACAGCTACACAGTGGATGTAATTAGAGACAGCTACACAGTGGATGTAATTAGAGACAGCTACACAGTCGATGTAATTAGAGACAGCTACACAGTCGATGTAATTAGAGACAGCTACACAGTGGATGTAATTAGAGACAGGTACACATGTGGATGTAATTAGAGACAGCTACACAGTTGGTGTAATTAGAGACAGCTACACAGTGGATGTAATTAGAGACAGCTACACAGTGGATGTAATTAGAGACAGCTACACAGTGG